TATTTTTTTTTTTTTTTTGCTGATATATAATTAACCAACATTGTGAATACTGCAAGGATATTAACACAATTTTACATGTATTAGTGTCTTGACTATTCCTTATGATATTTTTAATAGCATGTTTATAAGAATATTTAATAGTACTTTTAAGAGATTTAAACTGCATTAGCAAAAATGCAGGTAGATATGGGAAGTCTGATATGTTCTCACAAATCAGTTCTTTTGAACAGTCTGTTTCAATAAATCAGTTCAAAACAAAGTCAGTAATTAATTTGTGTCAAAATTAGATATTACTTTATCAAGCACATTTTACATGTATAATGCTTGAGTATGTTTAGTGGTACATATAAATGAAATGATTAAATATGAGATCATTTAATTACTGTTACAAGATTTGTTTTTTATCAGTAGTAGTCATTCTTTCTTTAAGCATTTTTGTCATGTTTTAAATCTAGTTAGTAAAAAGAAATAAATAATTTTCATTAATTAAAGTCACTTTTCAGGTGGTAAAACATACAGCTGAACTACATATTCATTTAGTAGTTTCCTTTCTCTGTGTCTGACTTAGTGACCACACATCCTTAAAAAATATGTTTGCAACCCTAATACTGTAGACTTTACCTGGCTGTAGACTGACCATATCTCCTCTCCTCTAGTTCTGTTGAATTCAGGATTGTGATAACAACACTATGATGCATGTCGCTTGAATAATAATGGTCACTGATATCATACTGACAAAGCTAAAATGAGGGAGCACAAGTGTTTCTGATGCTGAAGTGTGTGTGTGTTTGCTCAGAAAATGGTGATGAAAGCAGCAGCGATGAATCAGCACAGAGTCCGGCCACAGAAAAAAGGTAAAGCACTACAGTCAGGCCAATAAAACTCTTTAAACTGAATTCTGTCATGACAACTCTCGGCGGGATTGGCATGGTAATGTACATGACAATGTTAATGCATTTGGTCTCTGGCTTGATGTCATTTCATCTATAAAACACGCTAACTTGATTCAGTTGAGTCTTTTGGTAAATCTAATTTAATCTACTTCTAAAATTGTTTGTTGTGCGCTTTTTGGAAGCACTATATAACATTTCCATCAGCAAACTGTTATTTGGCTCCAGTGTGCATTTTCATTCAATATCAGCATCTTACAGGAACTTACAGTTTTGCTGTTTCTGTGTCTCTTACAGTTGTTTGGCTTCGGATCTCATGAAACTTTGCGGAGAAACCAAAGCCAGGAATAAGGTAGAACAGTAGTAATTCTACACATTTATTTTCTTGTTTATTTGCTTATATATTAAAAATATATTTAATAATAAATAAAATAAATTGCATTGTCATTAAAACCTATTGTGACAAGTAGTTTGGTTCTGGTTTTGTCTTATTTACTTCCTACTATGTTATCCACGTAATTATGGTTTAGCTAATTGGTAATTATAAACACAGAATAATAGTTTATCATACAACAATAATAACAGTAACAGAAGCCCTAATTATCTTCATTGAGGAGAAAAAGAGAATGGGTCGGGAGCATAAACTAAGCTGAATACTAGATCATAAGACAAAAGCGTGACAGAAATAGTCCCTGATGTACAAATTCATTATTTGAGTTTATAATACACTTAGGCTCGCAGAAGAACCACCACCCAAATGGAGCTGCTGTACGCAAACTCTGGTGACCCCGACGCCCCTCCAGAGGATTTCTCTGCCCCTCTGCTTCCTGTAGTGGAGAGTCCAGAAGGACATAAAGAACCGGCACCCGTTCCCTACTTAGGGGACAGAGACTCAGTGGCCTTCAGCTCTAGCTTAGCATCCAAGTCAAATGCTGTGTAAGTGTTTGGTGAACAGATATGTATGTTGGTTAAAAACAAGCAAAATCCATGTATTATATAAACATGTATTATTTTCACAATAACTTTTGAAAAAAGTCCTTTATTCTAAACTGCTCATAAGCTTGTCGACACATTCTAATAAACATTACAGTCACGTCTGATGGGATGTTTTTAAGTGGCACTGGCTTTTGTCTAATGCATAGCTCCAGTGCCAGATCTCCCACGGCTACAGAAAAGAGGTCTCTGGACCGCTCGCCTCTCACCCGCAGAAGAGCTCAGGACAGGAGCCAGAATCCTACAGAAAGAACCAAAACCCTGGACAAACCGTAAGAAATAGCCTGTTACACATAAGCATCCTCCTTCCAAACATCTTTGCTAAATTTGTTTACAGATGTTCTAAATGTCTTGTATTACTAAAGTGAACATCTATACTTTCATTCAGTGAACAAGAACAAAGTTTACTAAGGCAAGCATTAATAGTACTGTAATAATGAATAACTATAGAATTAGCAGGACCCTGGCAACCACTCAAACAGCCTATTTATTGTAAAGAAATTATTTGCAATTTCTCCAATCATTTATTTTCCCTCCACATACAACATGTCTTAAAGGGATAGTTCATTAAAGGAATAGGGATTAAAGGGATAGGATAATTTACTCACCCTCAAGATGTTCCAAACCTGTAAACGTTTTTTTTTTCTTGTGTTGAGCACAAAATAATAATTTAGAGTATTTCTAGAATGTTGGTAACCAAACAGTTTACTGTAGCCATTGACTTCCATAGAATGGAAAAAGAAATATGATGGAAGTCAATGGCTACCGTCAACTGTTTGGTTACCAACATTCTTCAAAATATCTTCTTTTGTGTTCAGCGGAAGAAAGAAACTCATACAGGTTTGGAACGACATGAGAGTGAGTAAATGATGACAGAATTTTTGGGTGAACTATCCTTTTAAACACTTCTGCTGTAGAATTTGGTTAGAAGTAGGTATCTTAAAAAGCAGCATCATATTGCAAGTTGCAACCAACCTTTTAAGGTCTGGTCACATTAGCAAAATTGTCAAAATTTACAAAAAAGGTCCATTGTCCATTTGCAACAGTGTACTATTGTGTCAATTCCTATTGTAATGACTGGACTTTGCCCCATCGAAATGTTTGAATTTTAAAGGAATCCAGTCAATTCTATAGAAATCCACACAGTCAATGGTTTCTTGTGAGGGCAAAAGATTTCCCCACACAGATTTCGCTATGAATTTAAGTTGGTAATGTGGATTTCACCACAGTGGCCAACAGAAAATGGCTTGGTTGACCACTGTGTTCAACCACCGTTGAACCTGTTGCGAAATCTGCGTGGGAAAATCTTTCGCCCTCACACGAAATTTCCAATACCTTGGATTCTGAAATGAATGGATTTTGCTGGCAAAAATGGCAAAAATTATGGTAATTGCGACCACACCTTTAGAACAACCTATTATGGCTTAAATTGCTCTTTAGCTACTTTAGCTAGATGGAGCTGCTGTACGCCAACACTGGTGACCCTGACGCCCCTCCAGAGGATTTCTCTGCCCCTCTGCTTCCTGTAGTGGAGAGTCCAGAAGAAAATAAAGAACCTGCACCCGTTCCCTACTTAGGAGACAGAGACTCAGTGGCCTTCACCTCTAGCTTAGCATCCAAGACAAATGCTGTGTAAGTGTTTGGCAAGCAGAAGCATAATCCAAGTATTATGTAAACATTTATTTTTACAATCTTTTTTGAAAAATCATTTAATTCAAGCAGCCATCCCTTTATTCTAAACTCATAAACATGTCGACACATTCTAATAAACATTACATTCACGTCTGATGTGAGGTTTTTAAGTCACACTGGCTTTTGTCTATTGCGTAGCTCCAGTGCCAGATCTCCCACGGCTACAGAAAAGAGGTCTCTGGACCGCTCGCCTCTCACCCGCAGAAGAGCTCAGGACAGGAGCCAGAATCCTACAGAAAGAACCAAAACCCTGGACAAACCGTAAGAAATAGCCTGTTACACATAAGCATCCTCCTTCCAAACATCTTTGCTAAATTTGTTTACAGATGTTCTAAATGTCTTGTATTACTAAAGTGAACATCTATACTTTCATTCAGTGAACAAGAACAAAGTTTACTAAGGCAAGCATTAATAGTACTGTAATAATGAATAACTATAGAATTAGCAGGACCCTGGCAACCACTCAAACAGCCTATTTATTGTAAAGAAATTATTTGCAATTTCTCCAATCATTTATTTTCCCTCCACATACAACATGTCTTAAAGGGATAGTTCATTAAAGGAATAGGGATTAAAGGGATAGGATAATTTACTCACCCTCAAGATGTTCCAAACCTGTAAACGTTTTTTTTTTCTTGTGTTGAGCACAAAATAATAATTTAGAGTATTTCTAGAATGTTGGTAACCAAACAGTTTACTGTAGCCATTGACTTCCATAGAATGGAAAAAGAAATATGATGGAAGTCAATGGCTACCGTCAACTGTTTGGTTACCAACATTCTTCAAAATATCTTCTTTTGTGTTCAGCGGAAGAAAGAAACTCATACAGGTTTGGAACGACATGAGAGTGAGTAAATGATGACAGAATTTTTGGGTGAACTATCCTTTTAAACACTTCTGCTGTAGAATTTGGTTAGAAGTAGGTATCTTAAAAAGCAGCATCATATTGCAAGTTGCAACCAACCTTTTAAGGTCTGGTCACATTAGCAAAATTGTCAAAATTTACAAAAAAGGTCCATTGTCCATTTGCAACAGTGTACTATTGTGTCAATTCCTATTGTAATGACTGGACTTTGCCCCATCGAAATGTTTGAATTTTAAAGGAATCCAGTCAATTCTATAGAAATCCACACAGTCAATGGTTTCTTGTGAGGGCAAAAGATTTCCCCACACAGATTTCGCTATGAATTTAAGTTGGTAATGTGGATTTCACCACAGTGGCCAACAGAAAATGGCTTGGTTGACCACTGTGTTCAACCACCGTTGAACCTGTTGCGAAATCTGCGTGGGAAAATCTTTCGCCCTCACACGAAATTTCCAATACCTTGGATTCTGAAATGAATGGATTTTGCTGGCAAAAATTCACAGAACAATGGTAATTGCGACCACACCTTTAGAACAACCTATTATGGCTTAAATTGCTCTTTAGCTAGGCAGCTTACTATGGTTTGAAACGGAGCCAGTGTATTATACTAGTCTGATTTGATTGAGTGTTTAATGCATCTGTATCATGTGTTTTTTGGTCCAGAGGTGTGACAAGCCCAGCTCAGGCGGCCCGCTCCAGTCAAGCAGCCAGACTGCAGTGTGTGCACGTGGCCAAGGGTCATACTAAACCCCTGCTGTGTGTGGACTCGACAGATGATCTGCTCTTCACCGGCTCAAAGGGTCAGTGAACTTTATGGATTTTATGTAAAGAGTTACAGGTCTTTACTACAGTAAAATTCCCAAAAATATATAATTAACACTTTACTAAATGTCACCTCATGCACAGTCAGCCGGACGTTTATTATGCGATAATGACAATCTATATATTATACCATATATTACACGGTTGATTAACAGATAAGTGAATACATGGGTGTGACTGATTTGAGTTCAAATTGTTATTAGCTAATTAAAAATTCAGGTAATACATTCAATCCATTGCTTCTAGCAACAGTAAATAAGGGGGTTAGGTTGGAGGGTTTATTAAAACATTCAAACCATAGTGAACATAATTTCTATAGAACTCTGTACACTAACTACAGTAAAAAGAGTGTGCTGGCTGAGCATTTCAGCTGTTGGCACAATGCAAACTAGCAATGCGCTAGCAGAATTTATATTTAATTTAACCATACTGCATTTGTTTTATACAATATAACCAATTATAGATGTAGGGAATTTGTGCTTCTGTATTTAGGTTGTTACCCATAATGCATTGCCAGTACAAGAATGATAAACATTGTGTTCTATCCCCATCCATCCCTCTTTTTTATCTCAGATCGCACATGTAAGGTGTGGAACCTAGTAACGGGTCAGGAGATCATGTCTCTTGGAGATCATCCCAGCAGTGTAGTGTCAGTTCGATACTGTTCCAGCCTGGTCTTCACGGTCTCTACTGCTTATGTCAAAGTATGGGACATCCGTGACTCCGCCAAATGCATCCGCACCCTCACGTGAGTCATTCTGGTACTGTTTAATTTATTGAAAGCCAGTGTTCCCTGATGCTTATAAATATTTTACCTATGGTTGCTCATTTTAGCCCTCTGTCTCCTTCAGTTCTTCTGGACAGGTGTCTCAAGGTGATACGTGTGGGAGCTGTTCTGTTGCCATTCCTCCAGGGGAAAATCAGATCAATCAGATCGCCCTCAATCCTTCTGGAACATTCCTTTATGCTGCATCAGGCAACACGGTCAGGATGTGGGACTTGAGAAGGTACTGAACAATTTTACCATGAGTGTCTGGAAGTTATTTACAGTGCTAAATAGGAACTTTGAAGAAATACATTCTATAATACTCAAATGCGTTCTATAGTACTCAAGGTGATAGTTACCTTCAAATATGCAAATTAAGCTGGATGTAATGTTGCTCAGCTAGCTTTAACTGACTATATTCTGTTCTGTAACTCCACCATAACAATAGTTGACCTGAAAAAGCAAATGGATCAAGACATCCAACGAAAATATACTAATTTAACTAACCTGGGGTGTGTTTCCCAAAAGCTTTGTTAGCCAACTATGGTCACAAGTTCTGTCGTTACCAACATTCGAGACAGTGTTTCCCGAAACCACCAATGTGGTTCGCAGTTTGTGTGGTTGGAACTACAGCTCTTGACCTGTGGTCAGAAGCCTATTTTCTTGTTACTATGACATGCTAATTGATAGGGCTGGGTAAAAAATATCGATATCTCAATATTAATCGATTATCATTTTTACGGAATGATATCGATTCTTAAATCCCAAGAATCGATTAGTCTAGCCTGTTTTCAGTTAATGGACGGAACGTTGAAGGGCACTTCTCATCCAATATATCGCAATAAGCATTGTGCTTTGGTACTTTTAATATGAAACAAAGTCTCAGATTTCAAATTCTGTCCATTGTATTGCAGTATTCAAACAATAAATGCCGTTTTGGCGCTGTTTAATCTGGAGTGACACATCGCTGTAGCGCCTCAGTTTAACAGACGCGGCAGCGCGTAGTGCACGTGAACTGATCATCTCCTCCACATTAATGCTTTGGTACTTTTAATATGAGACAAAGTCTCAGATTTCAATTCTGTCCATTGTATTACAGTATTCAAACAATAAATGCCGTTTTGGCGCTGTTTAATGTGGAGTGACAGATCGCTATAGCTCGGTGCGCCTCAGTTCAATAAAAGCGGCAGAGCGAGGCGCACGTGAACTGATCATCTCCTCCACATTAATACCGGTTTCAGCACAAAATAAACATGACTAAACATCCGAAGGTAAGTTAAAAGAAAGAGT